AAAATAATAATCAGTAATGAAAAGTTGCTCACAAAAACATGAGCCCACAATCAGCACCAGGAACTAGACCAGTCCCAGCACCAGACTGAGCCTCTGCTTTTTCCACTGCAGCTGACCAATCAATCAAATACATCAACAGATCAATAAATAATTAAACTGATGGCTACAGATCCACCCGCTCTGATGGAAAATATTTATGTACAGTGCAGACGTATAAAGAGAATTAACTGTTGGCTGTTGTTAACTACGCTCTGCTGTGTTGTGTGTTTGCATGTTGTTGAAGAGTCTCATTGAGATTTAAATGTCTTGAGAGAGAAAACAAACTTTTTTTAAAAAAATTCTGGCTTCTGTTCATAAGAATCACACATTTTAGCTGAATTGTACATAAGAAAAAGCGAATTAAATCCTGTTTCCATCTTCTGAAAGCTATTGATAATTGATTGTCGTCAGCCCTGAGCTTCTCCCTCAGTTTGTTCTCAAAAGTTTTGAATAAATACATTTTAAAAATGTGCCTGCAGCCAAATCAGCACTTTGTACATTTAACAAAGAAACGTCTGTAGAACTACAAACACAGAGGTTTTCAATCTTTCTTTGAACTTTAACTCATGAGGGATTCAAAGCCTCAAACATCCAAATCAAAAAAGTGCAAAACAAGACTTGTCTGATGCAGACAATCAAAAACGTTTTGATGAAAATAAATGTTTCAATTCTCAGATGATTTTTATTTCACTGATGTCTTTACATTCATAAATGACGATTCTTTATTCAGAATTTTCAGATTTTTCGGGAGTAAATATTTTTATAGATTCTGAAAAAGTCACATTACGACTAAAACTTTAATCTAATAAACAGTTTAAGTTCCAACCAGAAACTTGTTTGGTTTTTACTGAAATACGCTTGTAACACAAAAAAGCCCAAGAACAGCCAACATCGAAGGAACCAACCAGAAATGTCTGTATAGTTTAGAGAACCTCGAGCTGAGATTGGAAACGAAAACGTCTAAATGCAGAGTTTGGAAACCGTTACATCCAGCAAAACAACAATGAAAAACATTTTGGATTCCTGACTGTCAATCCTGATGTTTAGTCTCACTTCTGACAAACGAAAAGGTTTATTTTTAAAAAAAAACAAAAACGTCCTTGTATTTTTCTGGAGTTACAAGGTTCAGAAAAGGTTTTTAAAATTAGCACGATGCATTACTGACGGATTAATGTCAGAACTTAATTTCCCTTTTCTCCGATTTACATCTGAAATCTGCTGGCCTAACACCCTGAAACTTATTCAGGGACGGTTCTGGGAAATAAAACTGATTTTGCATAACATATTGTGTTTCTCTTAAGTTAAAGATCTGGAAAAGACTTTTTTTATAAGTAGCACCGTGAAGTCCTCTATGAACATAGAAGTGTCAGAGCTAGCTAAAAGTTCCTGATGTGGTTTTAAACCTACAAAACAGTTTTTAGGTTGTTTCGGCTATTTGTGATTTGACACCAAAGGAAACAATTTACAAAAACCTTTCCCAGATTTTTTCCATACATTAAAAAACTTTGCATCAAACTGAAAGTTATTTCTCACATAGAGCTGAGTCCTTGAACCAAACCCGCTGCGAATCAGAAAAGCTGAATGACTGTGACTTTATTCACTGATCAGTTTGGTCCAGATTTAAAGTCTGTCGGTTTCTGACGCAGGTTTGAAAACTGCAAACAAAAATTGCAATTTGACAATATTTTGTATCACCACTGGAACCAAGGTAGTGAAAAGTTGCCCGAGCTTCTGGCCCCGACGCAGTGTTGCCAACTCCTCAGTAAGGAAAGTAGCTATCGGCTGTCCTAAAGGTCGCTAGAAGTAGCTGAAAGACGTCATCGCCTAATTTGCATAATTGTTATTTGCATGTAATTGTAATGGACGCTGCAGGAGAGAGGAATAACGTCATGGGCCAGACAAAAAGTGGGTAAGAAACACCCCAAATATGTTTAGAACTACAAATGAACTGTCTCCTGTTGATTCTTGGTTCGTTTTCAAAAATGCTGCCATTGAAACAGGCCATCACTTCTCACAATAACTTCATGATACCAACATTAAATAAATCAGTTTTGTCCCGTATTGTTTCATGTTAGAATATCAAATTTAATCAAACGACTGTCATGTGAAGTGAAACTGGCGGCTTCACGTCCAACCCTCCTCCTTTATCAGGGCTTGGGATCCAAAGTGACCCAAAGACACACTCTGGCAGAGTTACTTAAGGTTTTTTTGTTAGTTGTTGGATTTCTTTTTTGTTTTTTTCTGACATGATGAGCTAGCTAGCTAGATGTTTAGCTTATGTCACAGAGAGGCAGATACAGTCGACAAGGTGAGTACGTCAATGAGGCCGTGTGAGTCAAATTATGTGTTTTACTGTGACAGTGACGAAACTTTTACATTCAGATCTCCCTCTCAAAGTCAAGCTGGGATCAGTGGCGGCTTGGCGTATGTGCGATTCATTTTAGGGTCTCCTCTGATCTGACTGCAGCTACGCAGGACTCCTGAGCGCCTGGAAGAGCTTCTGGACGAGGAGGAGC